TAATGACTCCAAGATCCCTTTCCGTCTCTGTGCTTTCAAGAGGGGAACTCCTCAGCCTGTATGTATGCTGTGGATTCCTTCTCCCAAGGTGCAGCACCCTGCATTTGTCTACATTGAACCCCATCCTATGCTCATCTGCCCACTTTTGTAGTCTATCTAAATCTAGTTGCAGCCTCTCTCTCCCTTCAAGTGTGTCCACCTCACCCCACATCTTAGTGTCATCAGCAAACTTGCACAGCGTGCTTTCCACCCCCTCGTCCAAGTCGCTGATGAAGATGTTAAACAGTGCGGGCCTGAAGACCGAGCCCTGGGGTACCCCACTGCTCATATCTCACTAGGCTGAGTACAACCCGTCCACCACTACTCTCTGGGTGCACCCCATCAGCCAATTTTTTGGTCCCTGCACAAAAAAATGGAGGCAAAGAAATTGTTAAAAAGGTCTTCCTTTTCCTGTGGTGCAACCACCAGATTGCCAAGTGTTATATATTTATAATGCTAGTTCAGAGATTCCTGTGAAGGGGAAGGAAACTGCAGCCATTAGTAACCGGTCCAGGAACAGGGTAAGAGAGGGGTGTGCACTCTTTCCCTCCCCACTTGGTTGTGCTATGTATGCACAGTGAGCTCTGGCAGATGCCACACTGAGCGCTTGTGTGTGCACAGTCAAAGGGGGATGCGGCCATGCCATAATACCGCTGCCACCCCTCCCCCTTCTGCGTGGATCCAGCCCTGGTGTCCACCCCTGCCCCCTGGATCCAGCCCTGGTGTCCACCCCTGCACTTGTCTAGCAATGTGAGATTATGTCATTGAATATGAGTTGTTGAGGAAGGGGTTGTCTTGTCAAAAATCGCATGCAGTAGAATGAATTGTCAATAGGTTTATGCACCTATTATCTTCTAAAAGGTGGCAACATGGCATAGAAACTAGATGACTGCATTTAAAAAAGCCCACAGAGAAAATGTATAGACTCTTGGTCCCATGGCAGGACAAAAACAGATTTCAGGACAGAATTGAGTCAAATGCCATGTGCAGTAGACCACTTAGTGAGTAGTGTTGCCAAAACACTTTTTTTCATCCCAGAGATGGAAAGTATTTCTTTGCATATCACTTCAGTGAAGTATTTTACATGTTTGGGATGAGAGAGAGTATATTTAAAAGAAACGTAATAGCCAGTATTTGCAAGGAGGAAATAAGACCCCTTAACTCTTTATTCAGACACCTAACTAAAAGTAGCTTGTGAGAGAAAGACAGCACTTTTCCTTTTTCTTTATTACTTCTTCTTTTTCTTTTTATTACTTTTTCTTTATTTCCTATTTCTTTATTACTTCTGCATCTTCTGGATTTGATAAGTTCTTTACAAGTTAAATACTTTCCTGACCAGCTATTACTGCAAATGCAGCCCAGTATCTGGGCTTTCTGCCTTTACAGTAGCACAGGAATGATGATTTTTCATTCAGAGCTTAGCTAATGTATGAGACAAATTAGGATGTTGTTGCCTATATTAGATCTTCTGATCCATTCGGAAAAGCATGTGTGTGTACGTGATTTGGGCTCAAGGCCTCTGAGGTTCTTCAAACAATTGCACAGCCAAAGCCAAGAATTGCTTTCTCTGGCAACCCACTCTCATTTTACTGTGCTGTCAACTATGTATTTCATCGGGCATGGTGGCCTTTGTGCTTGCCCACTTCTCCAACAAGAACTATGATTCTTCATTCCGTTTTATCCTTGCACATGGAGTGCCATTTCCAGATCAATCACCTGAAGTTTCTCCTTCCTACTCTTTTCAATGCCTTCTAAAGGATCAATTCTTCTCTTTTGCCTTTTGAATGGTGTTAATAAATAGGTGGCCAAGATTGTCTAGCTATATTGTGTACTGGCGTAGTTATTGCATACTTTAAAAAAAACCCTTGTGAACAGAGCAAATGGCTTTATAAGCTGTTATTTCATACTTCTTTTAGCCTTTCTGTTTGTATGTTGCATCTATGTTTGTCTTTTAAACTGAGTTTATAACCTTCTTGGTGTGGAAGAGAGAAAATCTAAGAATGGAGGCACCATTCTGTCAGCCACTGTGCAGAGCCAGCAAGATAGTCATCTGTGCTACAAAGTCCCCTAGGTATGGAGATTCTCTTTGAGAAAGGTACTGCTTCATGTAGGGGTGGCAGGATCTGGTCCCTGAAGTACAAGGTTGTGATGTTTTCTCAGTCCCTTTCCAGACTGTCACTCCGTTGTTGTTATGCAAAGTGGAATTCGGGGGTGGAGGCAGCATTATGTACATATTTAAGTTTGTATTGAACCTTTTGAAGATGGAGAACTTGCTCTCTGACCCTGCATATCATTGTCTTAAAGCTTATCATAAAGATGTGTTTACCCTCTGTTACTGAGTGTGCCTGACCTATAAGGGGTTAAGGTCCCAGGTGCCAGTTATCACCTGCCTTGGGCAGAGGCTAGAGCTGATGCCTTTAACCCTTACAGGCCCTGTTTGCCCTGTGACACTCCTTCTTGAGTAACAATGAGTGCATCTACATGAGACGTTTACTGCACAGTAGACTAATTGCTGTGCAGTAAAGTGTTGCCGTCTCCACATGCGTGGTAGTTAGGGCACAGTAGACTAATTTACTGTGCTGCATCCGGCAGATACAAGTGGGATCTAGTCCTGTCAGATACAAGTGGGATCTGGCAGCACAGTAAATCACTGTGCTTAAACACACATGTAGTCAGTGACATTGGAATTAGTTTATCCAGCTCAAATTGAGCTGGAGCATGTTCAGTTGCATTCATTGCATGTATAGACTCACCCAGTGTAACTGATTTAATCCTGGTGCATGGGGGAGTGCACATTGCACACCTACTCCATAGGTTTGTTGGAAGTGCAAGCTGGCTTTTAGAGAAGGCACTTTCCCTGAGGATGTGTTTATGAGGGGGAGGAGGGAGCATCTGAAAAAAGGGTAAGCTTCAACAGGCAAAAAAGGTTGAGGAAGAAAGGATAACAAGGTGAATATAACCAGGGCCATGAGCAGTCTGACACCCCTTTCCCTGCCAGCATTGCCTACTTCTGGGCTAGTGCCAGTTGCTTCTAGTCTATCTGGTGGAGGGAGGGTTGTGAACGTTTTGTTAATGCAGTTTCTGAAGGACTTCTTCCACTTCAAACTTTGTGATCTGGCGTTTATTGGAAGGAGTGGTTATAACCCAGGGTGAATACAGGAAAGGTACATGCCCCTAAATTTAACCAGGTCCTGGATGAAATGTGTGGTGGCTGATGTTTCCTGCATCTTGTATTTCCCCCTTGCACCCTGAGGATATTAAACCTGTCTCATGGTTGCTTTTCTAATATACAGGTAAAAGTGGCATAACAGGAACTAATTATGTGGCATCCTGTTGGAGTTTTCCCTCCTTCCAGCCTCAGAGCTGAACATAGCCTCTAGGGGCTTTGTGGAGGCTAGTTGACATTTATAGTCAAAGTGGGTTTTGGTTTCCTCTGCAGATGCTGGTCAAAGCAAGTGCCGTTTAGAGAGAACTCAGGCGCTGGAGCAGGCAAAGAAGCCCCAGGAAGCGGTCTTCATTCCAGAATGCAATGAGGATGGATCATTCACTCAAGTAAGACTACCATCAGCTTGCACCTGTCACTTTTTTCCCCCTTCAGCTGTAATGAATTATTTACTAGCATGTGACTTGAACGAGGCTAGACCTATGTGGGATAGGCTTATTTATTAGGAGCCATGGCCAGCTGCCGGCCCTCTGGCCTATTGAAAACTTGGTCTTCACTTGTATACATAAGACAAGATCATCCACCTTTGCTATAATTTGCATTGTTCCCCTTTTAAAAGTCCCAGTGGAAACCAAAGACTTCATATACTCTGCAGCTGAGCTCCGAAGTTCCCTTCTCACTCACATGATGTATATGTATTATGAACAGCAGAGGAACCCTGGCTTCTGTTCATAGCTTCTGCCAAAACAAGGTTCCTTTGCTCCTCTCCATACCTTCAACCTGTTCTGGTAAGAGCACTCCTTTTCCAAGCTGTCAGTTCAGATTGTCATCACAACTATATTCCCTTCCTAGAGTCCAAGTTCTCTTTACTGCTTGAAAACCCTTTATTTGGGAACATGGAATGAGTGCATGGAAGAGGGAGACTCTTTCCAGTATTGGCTTTTCATAATTTGCTTGCGTTCTCTTTTTTTGTTTGGAGCAACATCTCTCCAGCATCCAAGCAGGAGGTCATTTCCACTTTCTGCATTTGAGAAGTGCCCTGGAATTGCAGTCTACTTAATGCTGTTGTTCCAGGAGACAAACACCTTAACTTGGTGGAGAAAGCATTTGCTCTAAGGTCTATGCAAGATTAGTTTTCATTTTAATTTCAGCTGCAATGTTAGAGTGACCTTCCCAAACGTGGGTGAATTTGGAGCAGTGCACAAGCTTCCAGTGGAGTTCCAAAGGCAGCCTTTGTGTGGGTTGTTTTGTTTAGGGGAATAGTCATTTTGGAGTGATAGAGACTACATTATTTTTACTTTGACCTGCCCTATCACAGATCACTTCCTTTAGTAGCTGTCATGGTGGCCTTGAAAGAGATTTGTGCCTCTGGCTGGATCAGTGATTGACAAACTTTGTCAGGTTGCAGGCGAGAATATGACCCAGCTTGGGCTGACGTGAGCAAGTGCGAGGACCTGGGCAACACCACTGCCTCTTTCTCCTTGTGACAGCATGGGGAGAGCTCCCACAGTCACTGCTCCTCCCTGCACTGTCTCAAGGAGAGAAACTGCTGCTGAAGGCGTCTGCTAGCAAAAATCACCAAAGCTCCATGTCCACAGGTGGGATCAAATGGCCCCAAAGGCCAGATTCAGCCCATGGGCCTTAAGGTGGCCACCACTGGGCTAGGTGATTAAAGCTGAGAAGGTTGGTGATTTTTCTGGGCTTGCTGCCAGATTCCAAGCCAGGAACTGGGGAGCTTGGGTCCTGTTTATATGCGACTTGCCCATGGTCACCGTCTCTCGTTTAGATGGGATAGAGCTTCCCTGCTTCACAAGAGTTTCAGGAGTGACTAATGCATTATCTACAAAAAGAGCTGAAGTACTGTTCTATTTGTGTGCAAAGCATGATCCTTCTTGGGAAGGTAGGGAGTAGTCGCAGAGATTGTTAGTGTTTCTTGCTGCCTTGCCACTTCCTCAAACAACTATTAAGGTGTGGTCTTATGTAAAGGCATGTGGATTGCATTGACATTGGCATGGAATATTTATAAAACAGCGTAGCAGGCCAATTTAATGTTCTGAGGTGAACTTGTCTGCTTCCCCTGTCCCCCTTTTTATGGAATTGTTTCAGCATGTGAGTCCTGTCAGCTGTCTATCAGCATCTTGAAGACAAACAGAAGATAGAAGTTTGGCTGGATTGAGAGAACAGTTGTTGGAACAACTTCTCTTCCTGTCTTCAAACTGTTTTGTTTTATTTGATATGCTGATACCTGAACTGGTTGGGTTTGCTTTTTTTAGTGTTGTTGCACAATGCCCGCTCCCAGTATCTTCTGTGGAGAAGCAATGTAAACCTGCTTGCAAAACTTGTGTTTGATCAGACTCGAAGGGCTCCTATACATGTTCAGGGAGCCTGCTTCAATGTGCTGTAATTCCAGTACGTCAGAACAGACTTGATTTTAATCAAGACTGCTGGAGT